AGCAATAGTTAAGGAACATTACACCATCAGTGATTGGCTGGTGTGACTGCACTTAACAAGCAGAGCTTTCCAGCAAGATGGAGAGGCAATTCCTGCTCTCTGCTCTGGGTCCCTGAAGCACAGATTCAGTCTATTTAATGTACTCATTACATTTTAATTATCAAGACTGACTTGTTTGTTGATTCTATGCTTGTTGAGTGCAGCCTACTATGTGTCAGACACAAATCATGTGCTTAATGACTGTTGACATGAACAAATGGAACCTTACTCAGCCCATAAGAATGCCGTATGAGTATCTGCATTTGTAGAGGGCATAAGTGTAGGAATAAAGAAAAAAAAAAAAAGGTGTTGCTTGAGCTAAATTTTGAAATATGAGTGGGAGTTACCCCAGTGGATAAGGGGAGGGGGGGTGAGAAGGCATTCCAGGAAGAGGTAAAAGCACATGCCAAGACATGGAACTATATGGGGACTCCAACACAGCTTACATGCTGTAAAGCTAGCCTGGTGCTGGGTGGAAACAGGAGGAAACTTGCCTTCACATAAGAATCAGTCCGAAGAACTGGTTTGAGATATTATACTCAAAATATCTGCTTAGAAGGGGAAATGTATTTCAATTTCAGGGAGGAAAAAAAAGCAACATAGACATGGATTTTTGAGGTCAGGAAACAGCATCATACTGAAATAATTCCAAGGCTAACCAGTGAATGCATTGTTTGGCCTTTGGATCCAATTGAAAACTCTTCTCCATAGTGTAAGAGCTGGTAGGCGGTGACTGTAGTGAATCATTGGGGGTTTCCCTCTGGGAGGCCTATAAGTCTGATAAGGAGGGAGGCTGGGGGTGTGGAGTGGGGGAAGTTAGAGAGAGGAGAAGAGTCAGCGGTCGACACACTGTTGTTTTAGTAAGAAGACCCCAGTAGGATGATTCATTTCTCAAAAACCAAATAGAGATCAGTTATGTAAAGGGTTTTGTAAATCGTAGCATGCTATCCAAATATATAAGGTACTGTCATTATTATGATAGGAAGCCAAGAGTGTGGCCAGCTCACTCAAAGCATATGGGCAAAAGTAATTTTGGCAAGGCAATAGCAAGGGGGCTAAAAATGTTAAAGACACAGAACAGCAGTTGTGTTTCAGTGACGCCTGGGAAAAGACATACTCAACTTTGATTCCTGTAGATACTCTATAAAGCTGTAATTTCCCCCTTACTTTTCTTACTGTTTATAGTCAATTATTAGAGAAGTTCAGACTGATTCTATGTGAACTCCTTAAGGGCAAGGAATACTCATCTAGCATAGCACCTGGCAAGCAGGTAGCATTTAGAAAATGTGGGACTCTGAGAAGACTGCAGGAAGAGGAGGAAGGATGAAGTGGGATGTTATAATGGAAAAAAATAATTATGTCACCAGTTGGACAATGATGATTTGGTTCCTTATCCAAGTCTAGTAAGTACTTCCTGTCAGAACTTGGTCATTAAGATTGAGGGGTGGAAAGTGCACAAAATGAAAGATGATGTAAAAAAATATAATAAAAATATATTTAAAAAAAGAAAAAAAGGACTATCCATGCTATACAAGTAAAGTGAATTAATCAGAGTTCATTAAAAAAAAAAGATTGAGGGGTGGAATGAATAATGATCTTCCCTTCAAAATGAATAAATCTACTTGAGAAACGAAGATAGCAGAAATCAACAGTACTACTTATGGTACTTTGTGGAGAAAAGCATGTGAGACTGGAAAATAATAGATCTGTAGAGAAGAAAAATATTTGCATAAATATTATCCACTGAAGAGCAGGTGTACTGGGGGTGGGGGGGGGAAGGAATAGAACCTGGGAAGGTCTTGCCATTTATGTGAAGGCAAAGTAAGTACTGTCAAAAAAAAAAAAAAAAAAGAGCCAAACAAGGAAAGAACAAAATCGTAAGAATGTGGTCGGAGTAGATGTGTAAGATTAAATGCTGAAAAATCCAGGCAGTAAAATCCAGAGATATTTGTATACCCACAAGTAAAATTTGGTGAGCCATCCTCTTTCCATTTATTTCCTTTAGGAAAAAAAATTCTTTGAGCCAATAAGGCCACTTGGTAACATCCTTTACACCAGTTCTGGAATGGTTTTATTTGCAGATGCATACATAATGAGGAGAGTGATAGTCCTGTTAGGGTTTTGTAATCTTAATGTTTACCCAATACTAGACACAAGAAAGTGTGACATCTAAGGCCCAATATATGGGAGGCACCTGTGGTCATCTGGCAATCTGTCACGGGTCATGAACAAGTGTGATAAAACCCCAATGACAAATCTCTGAATTGGAATAAAGTTCATTATTTTCAGACTTGCTGTTTCTATTTTCTTGTTTAAAAAAAACCCCTTTATTTTGGTGTGTTAAACCAATAAGAGGGGGTTTGAACTGGAAGGGGATTATAAACAACTCCAATGGGGAAATGCTTAACCAATATAAATCTTTGTCAGAATTTTCTCTATTAAGCTGTGGGCGCCACACCCAAGCTTCAGGCAGCCATCCAGTTAAAAGAAAAGCTAACAACTGGTAAACTGAGTTGTTCTGTTTTCTCACAAGCCTGTCCTCTATTCTATATAATCCCAGGAGCTCAAGGAAGCCACTTCTATTAAAAAAGGAAGTTACTGCATTTGGATGTGTGGAAGAAGGGAGGAAGGGGAACAGGAAACCTTTCCCAGAAAGGCTCTGCAATGAATTCCATTGCTTAGCTCCTTTCACCATTACATTTTTGGACAAAAAACCAGTCTATATTTGGTTCCAAATTCACACCTTTGGGATTCAGGTGGAGTGAAAGTTCTATCAGAGATGAGGGGGCGAGACAAGGGTGCATCACCATGTGAGGAGCAGAACCTTTACAGTCCTCAGGCAATGTTCTCCCAGTCAGCCTTTCTTGGCTTTGCACCTTTTCTGCCTCCTCCTTCTCATGCAGAGGCACTCCTGGGCTAAGTGTCTTGACTGATGTCTGCAGAGCAGTGTCTGCTGGGCATGTAATCAGAAGATAGTGTGGATCATGCTTCCTAAAAGTGATCCTGCCATTTTCTTCCTTTCCCTCAAGGCTTCTGCAGCGGGGAGGATGGTCTCACAACACCCCATCCTTCGATGGGTTCCTTTAGTTCTCCAGAGCAAGGCAGCTCAAAGACTACACCAGAGGTTTCTCCTAGCAAGCCTAGAGCCATCCAGAAGCATGATTACAGTGGGGCTGCCAGTGAAGGAAGCCACACCCTGAACTCAGGGCATTCAGTGAAAATCAGATCTTGCAAACAAAATCTCATTCCCAATCAAACTGCCCTCACTCACTTATTTAATCACCTTTAGTGAGCATATACTATTGCAAAGCCCTGTGCTTGGTACCATAATGCAACTTATTAACAAATATACATTTCCTGCTTTTGCCTCTCCTTGATATTTTTTCCCAAATAAACTTCTGAGAACAATTTCATGATTCCAAGCTTTGTACCAAAGGCAAACTGCCAAACTTTTATGAGGGTAAAATGTCTACTGTTTAAGTGGGACTCCTTTCATGAGGCTATCGTAAGGATTATATGAGATGTACAATCCTTGCCACGCTGATGCTCAAAATCCTACACGTAAACATTCTTCCTTCAAAAGACTTTCAGGACGTGCCAGCGTCAGTTATTCCACCAGTTTCACTAATTTCTTACAGGGGTTCAAGTCTCTGCTTCAAATGCCTCAGTGGTCCTCCCCTCCCTTGTGCCCTATGCCCTTGCAGAAGTTCCTGGCTCTGTGAAAATTCAATCTGGTGTCAAGTGGCCTACCGCGAGGAAAAGCCGTAACTGGGGGTAAGTGGTGGACAAGGGCCCCCCAGAGTCCCTGCCTCTCATCATGTGGGAGCGACAAGTTAGGGCACATTAAGCCCTAAAGAAGAAGTTACTCCCGGCCTAGATCCCAAGCTAGGATCCTCTCTCCTCAGAGGTTCCTTCTAGGCAGTTCTAGGGGACTTATCAGACCTTCCTTTATACAGGGGTTCTCTGTGGGAGTCCATCACCACTGCGCAGGCTCCTGAGGCTCCTCTGTTCCCAAGTGGTCTTCCACTGAGGAAACTCCAGAGACCACCCCTTGTGCTCCCACAGTTACAGACGGTCTCTCTAGGGACGGTGCCCCCACACTGGGTCTCCCCTACCGCAGCAAATGCAGCGAAAGCAGAGTCTCTGGCGTCTCCACTGACTGAGGGGCCACCTGGGGGGCGGCTCCCACACAACACCTCAGAGTCCCCGGCGGTTGTCGCCGGCCCGCAGACCCGCCCCTGAGGATGCCCGCCGGGCCC